AACCCTGGACCCACATAAGCACCCTTTGACTAACTATACTTGTTGCACCACGTGCCATGTTGCACCCATGTGCCAAGGTGTGCAAATGCAGGGTCCAGTGCCCAAAGCAAACATTACAGGCCAGCCCCACAGCTTGGGGTCCAGGTATGGTTCCAGAAACTGCTACTGAATCCTAAGGCAATATAATAGTCAGCTGAAGTAGTGAAGAAAAATTAGCAGTTCACAAGACTGTATACATCACCTAAAGACACTCGCAAAAACTGAAGCCTCAGTGTGGAAGTGGTTAAATGGATATCATGTTCAGTCACCCGAAGGTAACAGTCTATAACCCATGATCTGAAAGTGTTTCTCAACTTTTTTTTTCCAGTCAAGGCACCCTTTATAATTATAGACAGTCCCGAGGCACTTTTTAAAATTATGTACAGTCTTGAGGCACCCCTTTCTTCCAAAGTGAATACACTTTTGCACACTGGTAGTGAGTAGTATTCCATTGTTTTTCTTCTCCATCACTAAACTAATGTGACCCCAGCACTGATGGAGAAGGGCAGGGAAGGGTCAAACTAGGATGCTGTGCAGGCAGATGACATCCTCATCAACTGTCATTGGTTGTCAGGACGCCGGCGGCTAGAAGGTCATAATGGCGCACAATAAAAACCTTTGCTTTGTGTAACTAAAAGGTAGGCTTCTTCCACCCACTGGCTTGTATAAATTTGGGGCAATTTTTAGAAATGTTGCCAAGGCACCTCTGAAGAAACCTCAGGGCACCCTGGTTTAGAAATGCTATTCTAAAACAATCCTCAGGTCCTGCATAGTAGGTGTGACGGGAGTGACTTTGGGTGGGGGGCCCATGGAACACAGCCCCCTTTGGAGAGGTAGGGAGACCCCTGTCTCAGCTCCCCATATTCCATTTCCTGTATTATTACAAGTCTGGTGCTGTCTCATCTTGTTTGGTCAGCGGTGGTGTCTGTGGATCTGTTTGGACAAGGAAGCTGGAGTCTAACGGAAATATCCTAGTGCAGTCAGGGGCCGGTTTCATTACATTGGTGGCAAGCAGTGGGATTGTGCTTCCAAGCTGTGAACACATCCAAACCACCACCGGGATTTAAGATCAGGAAAGGAGATGTCAGTCACCCCAGTGGAGATATGGACCTGGCATCAGAGTTCCCAGGGCTGCTGCAGACCGTTCTTGCAACATACCCCAGGACTGTTTATACGGATCAGTACCTGGAGCTCAGGCAGAGGATTTGGGAGATCCTTTGAAGAGCCCTCCAGGTTGCTGGTATGGACAAGGGCAAGTGCTATCCAACCCCAGGGGAACGGGCCAGGGACCATCGTAAGTTACAGATGCCGTTCCTGGGAGAGCAACCCCAGGAGCAATGGGTGACTGAGTTGGACAGGCTGGTCCAGCAGGAGATAGAGCTGGACAACAGATATTGGGCTCTGCAATGGTACGCAGAGCAGGAAAATTTAGGGGTGACAGCAGAATGCTCTCTTGAGGGATATGACTTTCGTGGCCCTGGATTGCTATGGGAGAGCCGTACAGATAATTTTGTGTTTGGCGATGGAGAACCTACCCTGGAGGAGTTGCGAGAAGGCAGGGAGGCTATGTTTGGTCTCACAGGGGTCTCAGAGCTTGAACCAGATCTGGAATACCTGCTGAAGAAAGAACTGCACCTGGAAAGGGCATACAGGCAACTGCTAAAACATGTTCAGCAGCATGCCCAAGAATCGGCAGTGGAAATTCCAGAGACTGGGGATTTGATAGACTTCACTGCTGAGGAAAAACAATCTGGTAAGCCTCCAGCAGAAGACCTGGCAACAGGGCCAAACATTAGTGAACTCTGCCCAGCACTGGTAACATCTTCTGAGTTCCACGGACAGGAGATGGTGAACCCCTATCCCCAGACACCAGTTCCAGAAACTGGGGATTTGATTGACTTTTTCTGCTGAGGAGGAACCAGCCGGCACGCCTCCCGCAGAAGAGCTGGCATCAGGGCATGGCGTGGTTGACCTCTGCCACAACAATCAGCACCGCAGTAGCTACAGGAAGAGGATGCAATCAGCACCTCACAACGGCAGCTTGAGCTGATGTCCGTGGATGGGACTTCGGTCACCACTGACACAACCCCAGAAAAGGGTCTGGCATTGGGACAAGAGGATTTCAGCCTTTGCAAAAGACTGGGGGATGTCCATCAAGTCAAAGTGGATGAGACTACAGTCGCCACCTGAATACCCCAGGGATGCTGGGCAGTCGGCCCAGATCCCCCACCGCATGATGGAGCCGGCCCAGTCACCCTGTCTTCTCTCCAGCGGCTGAGAGGACTTCAGGGAGAAGGACCAGCCCGTATGTCTCCCCAGCAGCGGGTATGTTCTACGAGAGAGGCAGAGGTTGACTGGGGGAGTAATGCCTTGTGTGGGGCATTTGTGTACATTTTTATGTAAAAAAAAAAAAAAAAAAAAAAAAAGAAAAAATGCATTTAAAAAAAAAAAAAGAATGTGTGAAAAATGCATGTGCAAAAATGCAAAACGCACCTCAAAAAGCATGCAGAAAAGGATCAAAAGCAAATTGCATAGGTGTGAACTAGGCCTTAAGGAAAAAAAATCTATAGTTTCAGTAGCCTCAATTTAAGAGAGCTACAGTGAAAATAAGTCCATCTCCTAAACCCAACAACCAGGATGGTGTGTCATGTGTGTTCTCTCAGTTGTACAATTATTGGAAATCAGGGAATGGTATGCTAGAAAGGTAAGCACACACAGCTCCTATTTCCTAGGCCTTGTGTTTTGTGCTAAGACTAGCTTGGTCTTCAAATAAAAAGACGCCAATATTATAAATATTTGATATGTGTAATATCCTGGACAAAAATTTTAATGCATACTGCAAACCCATTAGAATGGGTTCTTACCCAGTCTACCACAAAAAGATCACCATCACTTCCTATTGATGTGATACCGTGTCTCCCCCCCCCCCCCCTTTTCCCTTTCTCTTCAGCATGAAAAATGTTTTGGCTGGAGTTGGGCTTAAAGGAATGTGATGTCACTTTTGTTGCAATGTTCCAGCTATAAGAACAGCCTAAGAATTGATGTAACACATAATAAAAATGTTCAACAATCATGTCCGTTTTAAAGAAACCACACCAACATTTTAAATACAAAAGAAACCATTTAATATATTACAAACTGAATCCAGTAAAATACATAAAAAATATAACACAAAGTTTTTTTTTTTTTGTTTTTTTTTGGGTGCTGAAATATATAAAAGAAAAATGTTTTCTTTACCCTTTAAACAATAAACCTTTTGAAATCCTCCTGAAGTATTGAGGAACCCATGTAGCAACATGTACCCATGGGGTAGATAGATAAAATGATATTCCTGCATTAGTCAATGCGTGACACAGACTGCCTCGAAATCTGTGGCTTTTAAGGCTAGGTTCACAATTATGTGGATTTCAGTGCATTACCCGGTTTGCAGAAACACACTACAGTTAATTTAGCATGATTTCCTATGGATCTAATTCACATCTATGTGTTTTCAGCCAGTGTGGAATTTTGAAAGGGTCAGAGACTTTTTCCCGGATGACCCTGTCCCTTAGCTTATTTAAAGCTGTCAGATGGTGGGAGCCTTCGTCGGGTGCGGAACTTTTTTTTTTCTTCTTTGGGTTGGTGACAAGGTTCATTTTGTCTGACGTATCTACTTTGGGGGACATTTTTTTTTTTTTTTTTTTTTTTTAATACAGGACTTTTTTATTCATTTTTTGGTGAATGAGTAGAGGTACTATGTACCCCTATTTTGGTGCTTGCTCGTCCTCCCACTTTCATGACATGCACTGCCAAAATGCATGCTCAGATAAGGGTCTGCCATGGATTTTTTGGGGGAATGCAAAATGCACCCAGAAAATGCATCAACTGCAATCTGCATAGATGTGAACTTAGCCGAAACAGTGGGGTTTATTTACCAAAGCTGGAGTGCGCAAAATCAGGCTCATGTCTGCATAGAATCCAATCAGCTTCCAGGCTTTATGGCCAAAGCTTAACTGAACAAGCTGAAGTTAGAAGCTGATTGATTTCTATGCAGAAGTAAACCTGATTTTGCACTCTCCAGCTTTAGTAAATAAACCCCACTGTTTACCTGAAAGTATATTTGTCATCGGAGTAACATGGGGCTACCACTGCCGATCTACTTCTGAAAACGTTTGCTCTCTGGCTGTAGTACTTCCAAGTCACAGACCTGGAACAATCAAGTACGAACGTCAAAATTCTTTTCTCTATACTTGTTCTCAGTCATGTGGCTCAAAGTACTGAAGTCAAAGAATCAGCATGAAAGGCAGGCAAGTAGCATTTTAAGAAGGTCAACAAAGGTAACCTATACAGTACATCCAAGCATAACCTGTTACATATCACCCATTAAGAGACCCTAGTGTTGGAAATACAGTTAAAATATAACCAAAGACAAAACTTTTTTTTTTTTTTTTTTTGGATAGGGTAGAGAGGGATTAGAACACCTTGCATGTTTTTACTGCTGTCTGTGTCCCTGTTGGGGACAGTCAACCTCTTTTGTCATGTTTACCATTATCAACAAAAGTGGAACTAAAAGAAAATGCCAAGTTTTGCATTGTCCCAGAACAGGAATAGAGGGGAAAGCTTCCAATAGGGGACACTAGTTCTGGTGATAACCAGGGATTCCCTCACTTTGGAGGGATTTCCACTAACTTCCTGTTTTGGCTGACAGTCAGGAAGTGAAAGGAATCTCTCCAACAATACGCAAATGGAAAAAAAAAAATAATAAAACACAATAGAGGTTAAAACACTCCTTACTCCATCTAAAATGAAAACAAAAAAGTTTTGCCTTTAGTTCAAGTTTAATATGCAAAGGCAAAGTGCACTATGGGATTCATTAGACAGAAAACAGCATAGAAAATGTTAAGAGACAGTTTGCTTGCAGCACATGTTCACAGCTGTTCGGGATGGTCCTGTCAAAGTTGCAGACACAGATGTGCCAGAATTCACATATCTTCCACGCTCCACTTGTATGCAGATTCCTGAACAGCCTTCTTTTCTGAAATTCTAGCAAAATACTTGTTTTCAAATCCATTAGACCTAAAAGGACAAACAAAATGTGTGAAGGAGAAATGCTCTTATCATTTATTGTTTATGTCTTGTACAATACTTTTACACAGGGAAATTTACAAATTACAAATGAAAAAAAAAAAAAAAAAAAAAACAAACAAACTTGTAGACACGACATTGAATCTAGACATCTCTTTATACTTCTATCTGTCATGAAGTAGGCCTTAGAGCTTTACAGTACTTTCTGGCCAAAGATAACAACTTTAACAGCAAGCAAGCCAACTTCATCGTGGAAGCTACTTGATTTGCACAACAAGATAATTACTTCCAATTTTCTGATAATGTCTCTCTACAAAAAGTCGGTACCGCCATGGGAGCAAGCTTTGCCCCCAGTTATGCCAATCTTTTCATGGGATACTCAGAGGACTTCTACACCTGGCTTAACAATTCCTATGCGGAGCACATCATAATGTACGGCCGCTATATTGATGACATCATCTTGATATGGCAAGGGGATACAGGACCCCTCTTACAGTTCATCGATTATTGTAACACAAACCCCTTCGGAATATATTTTACATCTGTAGTGCACATAGTTTTAATATTCCAGGCCATAGACCTTACACTTGATACATCTGGTTACATTTGTTCCAAGATTCATTTTAAGCCCACAGCCGGTAACTCATACCTGCACCATGGTAGTTATCATCCGGCTTAGAAAAAGAACATACAGGTAAGCCAGTTTTGCAGGCTGTTTCAGAATTAAACCTAAAAGGACTACGTCTAACATAGTATTATCTTGATACAGACATTCCAACAGAAAGGGTATAACCAAGATTCCATCAGTTAGGCCTTCAACAGATACCAGGCCCTCTACGATAAAACCCCCTTTGAGTGTAATGATCGTGAACCAACCAAGACTTCAAGCAATATTAAAACCACTGGTCCAGTTTTCAGCACCCAATTCAATACCAGTTTTTTGTCCACCAAACAGTCCCTGGTTAAGCATTTGGATATACTAAAGTGTGATCCTAAGCTAGGCCCTGAGTTACCATCTCACTCCAAAGTAATCTTAAGAAAAGTGAAAAAAGTGTTAAGAATATGATGGCCCCCCAGCAAGCTGCCACCATCCAAAACAGCTCCTGTTTCTAAACTACTCACTTTTCTACAACTAAAAGGTATTTTTAAATGCAAAACACCTAAATGCCTCACTTGTGTGGATTTGTGACCCAAGGACAGCAGTTTTTCATTGATCATGAAGGCTGGCGACATCTAATAGATGGCTTCTATACCTTCTCCACTACTTTTGTAGTGTATTGTATTAACTGCTTATGTGGTATGAGCTACGTGGGTCGAACTATAAGATTACTTAGAGCGCGCTTTGGCGATCACCACAGAAGTGTAGAGAAAGGTTTGCCCTAATTCAGATCTCCAAATTCAATCTCCAGACATTGTTTGTTGCATCATGCTAAAAACCCAGACTGTACGAGAATTCATGTCACTGAATCCATCTCTGCTGGAAGGCAAACATTTGAAATCCTTGTGTGCCAGAGAGACGTACTGGATTTTTAAACTGCACACCATGTCTCCCAACAGTCTCATAGAGGAACGTAATGTAAACACCATTCTCTAGTGTCCTCCAGGGGGGCTGGCTTTTGGGGGGCTGTGCGGGGAGCTCAGGGAGGGTTCTTTGCCTGGGAGAGATGTGCACTGGGGAGCTCCACCTGGACTCTGTGCACAGGGAGGGATGGGGGGACACCCCTCTGTGGGATGGGAGAGAGGAGCCAGCCAAACATATTGGGATGTCTGTCTTTACACGCACATGAACTTTAATGGCATCCCAGTAGGTCTGGCTCACAGTCTCCGCTTTAAATCATCCCAAAGGTGTTCTATCGGGTTGAAGTCAGGACTCTGTGCAGGCCAGTCAAGTTCCTCCACCCCAAACTCACTCATCCATGTCTTTATGGACCTTGCTTTGTGCACTGATGTGCAGTCATGTTGGAACAGGAAGGGGCCATCCCCAAACTGTTCCCACAAAGTTGGGAGCATGAAATTGTCCAAAATGTCTTGGTATGCTGAGGCCTTAAGAGTTCCCTTCACTGGAACTAAGGGGCCAAGCCCAACCCCTGAAAAACAACCCCACACCATAATCGCCCCTCCACAAACTTTACATTTGGCACAATGCAGTCAGGCAAGTACCGTTCTCCTGGCAACCGTCAAACCCAGACATGTCCATCAAATTGCCAGATAGAGAAGTGTGATTCGTCACTCAAAAGTACAAGTGTACAATCCAAATGCACACTTTCCTGCGTTAAAAATGGCTGTGTGTATAAGTGTGTGCTGTAGCAACCATCGGCTGGAACTGAAGAAAATCAGCAAGGGAAAATGTCACCAGCACACCGAGAATCACCAATATGCATCCAAAAGTTTTCATGAACAATCACTTAGTTACAGCAAGGCAACATTTCGGAGTCTTGCAGGACGCCTTCGTCAGGCATGTGACATGCGAGACTCTGAAACGTTGCCTTGCTGTAACTATGCGATTGTTCATTAAAACATTTGGACTCATATTAGTGATGCTCGGTGTGCTGGTGACAGTCTCCCTAGTCACTCCAGAGAACACGTCTTGACTGCTTAGAGTCCAGTGGTGGCATGCTGTACACCATTGCATGCAATGCTTTGCATTGCACTTGGTGATGTAAGGCTTGGATGCAGCTGCTCGGCCATGGAAACCCATTCCATGAAGCTCTCTATGCACTGTTGTTGTGCTAATCTGAAGGCCACATGAAGTTTGGAGGTCTTTAGCTATTGACTGTGCAGACAGTTGGCAACTTCTGCATGCTGTGCGCTTCAGCATGCGCTGACCCCGCTCTGTCATTTTATGTGGCCTACCACTTTGTGGCTGAGTTGCTGTTGTTCCCAGTTGCTTCCACTTTGTTATAATACCACTAACAGTTGACTGTGGAATATTTAGTAGCAAGGAAATTTCATGGATGGACTTATTGCACAGGTGGCAACCTATCACAGTATCATGCTTGAATTCACTGAGCTCCTGAGCGCGACCCATTCTTTCGCAAATGTTTGCAGAAGCAGTATGCATGCCTAGGTGCTTGATTTTACACACCTGTGGCCATGGAGGTGATTGGAACACTTGAATCCAATGATTTGGAGGAGTGTCCCAATACTTTTGGCAATATAGTGTATGTCAGATCAGAGACAGGATGGATGAATGACATGTAGAGGGGCAGATGACACTGTTTTGGTACTCAATGACATGGTACTAGTTTTTATACTGAGTGCTGGCTGTGAAAAGTACTAATTGTACTGCCTGATATATGGTGAAATGAAGGAGTACCTATTGAGTTGTTTGTGAAATTTGATAACCTAAACATCACAAAAGGTGCAATGGCCTCTCTCAGAATCTCAAAAAAAATAAAAGCAGAAATAATTATTGTTACATTTTCACGGGTGACTAGCCACGGTGTGAACGATAGCAGCAGGTATTTGCTGATTTCTGCTGCTATTTTTGCTACCTGTGATCAGCTAACTGCGGGTGCCGAGCCCTGCACACTTTAATGACAGCTCGTTAGCAGATGCAGCTATCAGTGGCTGTCCGCAGAACCAGCAATTGCCTATGGTGAATCAGCAAATATCTGCAGCTGTCATTCACACTGGGGCTAGTTGCCCATGGGCATGTAGCCTAAGAGTACACAGCAACCCTTTCCAAGATTATACATTGTGCATCAATAGCCCGTAATTATTTTTTCTTTATTGACCGCAAAAGTCTAGGTGTACCCCATCTCTCTGGCTCTCCCTCTTATCATTCTCTCCCTTTCTCTCTGTCCCTCATTCTCTCTCTCCCCCTCATGTTTCCTCAACTCATGTTCCAAAATCACTCACTAAGATAATGAAATCAATTCAGAATGATGAGGGGATGAGAGCCGCACTGAGCACTAGCTGTTGAGCTAGTGGTGTGCTGTGTCTCTCATCTCTTCATACTGCACTGCTTTCTGGATTCAGCATAAAACAGCCTGCACTCTTATATTTCTGTGAGACACCAGATTTACCAGAGCACCTTGAGTGGCACTATAAGTAGTATAGGGTATTGAGTATATACAACTCAGAATGATGTTATTACACAATCAACTACTACACAAATGCTATCAGATTGCTCCCATTGACTCAGCAACTGTGTGCAGACCCTCACCAAGGCACAATCAATGCACGGAGAAGGAGGGAAGGAGCTGCGTATGGGTATATTAGAGCAGAACTAGTGGCCAGGAATAGAGATTGCCTGAGACACATTATATGGGATCTGTGTTATAGAGCAGTGAGCAGGACAAGTATCCCTGAAAACTGCTCAGATTTCACACAGTGTAATATAGAAAAGTTTAAATTGAAGTACCACACCACTGCTAAGAGGTCCAGATACAACATTATTCCATTATAGGTCATGGGTACAATTCAAAAAGTATCCAACGCGTTTTGGGGGCCTAAGTGCCCCCTTCATCAGGGCTTGACTGGCAATAAAGTGAACAAACCAGATGTGAACTGGACCTACAATATTTTGTAGTGTGAACTAAAAGCAAAGGCCTAATCAGCAGCTTGTTTGGCAGCTTTCACACAGTAGCAGTGGTGGATGTTTTAATGAGAGCGGGGGCATTCAGTAGAGGAAAAAAAAAAAAACTTAGCCTTTAAGGCATGGTTAGTGCTTATCCACTACCCAACAATGCAAAATGCAGGGTGGGTCAATGCCCATCAGCCCGGGCAGACACCGGCAACATATTGGAGGAAGAGGCTAGTCTTTCATACAACTACAGTATATGGGAATGAAAACTTTAATACAACAAGTGTTATGGTGTAAAAAACTCAGCATCTTACAGCATAACTAAGTAAAAGTCATTCAACAACCTTACAGCTTACACATACAAAAAGACTGGGTAAAATAAGAGTGCAAAAGAAAATGTAAAGTTATAAAGTGATAATAAACTCAATTAAAAAAACAAAACACAGACAGGTAAGGTTTTTATGATAGGAGACCCAAATGGTCTCTTCTATCATAAATCCCCTCCCCCCCAACTGTCAGTGGTAATATACACCTAGTTGAGCTACACTTTTTCTATATTGATGTAGTAATATACACCTAGTCACGTATGTGCAGCTCAGGGTACAGAACCAGCTCTGTCCCATGATAAATTGACTCCCATGTGCATGTGTGGGAGTGACATCATCCGGCCTGCCCATTCAAGTGGCTGAACAGCGCAAACCCAGAAGGAAGACTGGAAGAAGATGGAAGTGCCTGAGTACTAAGATCTCACCGCTGGAGGGCATCCTTTGAAAGGTAAGTCTGTCATAAGGTGCTAGTGTGTGGTATATACAATACGAAAATATTACAGCATAAACCTGTAAGGGGCTTGTTTAGAAAACACCTTTAGCAGAGTTTAATTCTGCTTTAACAACAAACCTCAAAAAAAAAAAAAAAAAAAAAAAAAAAAAAAACAACTTTTAACTAAATAACATGGATTTGGGTTGCCATCACTACTCCTTCCTTGCTCCAAGGGTAATTTAATGAAAAAAGAATGATGGAAAGCCTAATTCTTCAGCAACAGTACTACTGCAGCATTCAGAAATTCTGGGAGGTGTGAAGGCATTGTAGTTCCTGAGAAACATATTACAATATTTTCACTTGTATTACATATATCTAGCAAAAAAAGGGATAGATAGATCGATAGAGGCACAAATAGGTGTGCACCTACTGGAGACAAGGAATAGGATTACACAGACTAAGCAGCAGGTTACATCATTTATTTAAAAAAAAAAAAATCCATTAACGTTACAGTGGAATCTACACTGGATTAGTTTGTTAAATATATAAATCTTGTATATATATTATGTATTATTGTAATTGCTGAATGTCCAATTAGTAAAGATTATCTAACCTAGTCAGCACTCCTTTGCTTCAATGACAACAGTGTGCCTGTGCTGCTGAATGTGGCTGCTCACAGACCTGTCCTGCTACTGTTGGTGGTGTCTGTGCAAGCAGCAAAATGCTCTGTCAGAAGGAACAGAAGGGAGGATGCATGCCCACCAGCTAACTTAGCTGTATAAACAGAGCAGCACTGCAACTACATAAACTGCAATGCATTATGAAAAAAAAAAAAAAACCAGGTACCTACAGATTTAATCAAATTTACTCAAAATGGACTTGCATTGCTTAACTGAATGTGGGGAGATAATTGAACACTAGCCTTTCCTTCTACTTTAAAGCGATAGTTCATCTTCACCAAAGAACTGCCTATGCAGGTAAGGGGAGTCTGTGAATAAAAATAAACTGACTAAAGTTGAATAATGCCCTTGCTATAGGTGTAGGCCATTTACGTACCTCATGAAGCCTGACTGGAATACTCCCAGGGCGTGGCTAACTGAGGCCTAGTCATTACTGCTCACCTCCACCATCACAGGAGTGAGCTTTTTCTCGGATTCAGACCCCCTTACATGCTGTGTCTCTCCTCTGATACAATAGCTCTGAACTTAGTGTCTGAGAGCTCACTCCTGTGATGGAGGTGGTGAGCAGTAGCATGCAGGCTTCACTTAGCATAGTCCTAGGAGTATTTAGTCAGGCTTTGGGAGGTACGTAAATGGCCTACACCTATAGCAAGGACATTATTCAACTTCACACACATCCACTATCTCCTGTGCTCAAGGACTCAGACCAGAGGAAGATTGTTTAACAAACAGTATGTTTATCCAATGCTGATCAAAGGTTGTGCAGCTCTATCATAAAGCTGGGGAAGCTTGATAAAACTGTAGAAAAGGATACTAAACAGGCTAAACTACTGACACTCGGTAGCTGAATGCATCCTAGCTATGGGAACTCTGCCGAATTGAGACTTTGTTATCTGCCAAACCCAGCTCTGATGAAGAAGGGATCACCTTCGCTTTTATCTCCCCTTTGGATGGAATTTGCATGGGACCTGTAACCCTGTGTGAACTATGGTTATTTTATGCCTGTTTTATCACTACTTTTGTGAGTATATTTCTTTAATAATATTATTCATTGTTTACTGAGGTAATGTGCAAGGTTGGTGCGCTCTTTTATCCTCTTCTACATTATTCAACTTCAGTCAGAGCTGCACAGTTTGTTCTTAGCTACAGACACCCCTTATCTGCATAGGCAATTTTTTGGTAAAGGTGAACTAACCCTTTAGCTTCTCTCAACTTTTACGCATGCTATATTAAACAGGCAGCACCAGTTTTGTTTGGTTCTGAATATGCACATACTTCACTAATAATTGGTAACAGGGTCAGTAATGATGACCAAGCATTACATAATATAGTTTGTATATGGACTCATGTACCTGTCAACACCATCCCAGCGGTATCCTGGCAAGATATTAAATCTGTTTGGGGGAGGATTTGGACCCTTGTATCTTGGGCGCTCTGGAGAAGGAAAAAAAAAAAGCATATTGCTTTCACACAACAAAAGAGAAGAAAATGTGTCCTAACAATTTATACAATGAAGAGAAGCACTCAGATAATCAAAACATCCTTGGGTATACAACTGCCTAGAAGTCACTACTGAGTGTCCGATTTCATTCTACAGTTGGAAGGAATGGCAGATGCTAACACAGCAGCTTATTCCTGAGAGGAACAATAGCCATAAGGACAGGATTCCTATCTTCTCCATCAAATCTTTAAATGTCTAATCTTGCTGAACATGGCTTGATCAAGCAACTGCCATCTCATGTGTATGGGTAAAGCTGGCCATATGCAGATTGATTTTTTTTTTTTTCATCCAGCAGGCTGAATAAAAAAAAAAATCGAACAGATTATGCTATCCATGCGAAGCAGCAGGAATGCAGGATCTCCATACTGGCTTCAGCATTCTGACAGCTGCCAAAATACCTGAACAGTGCCTGTAATATATTGGATGAAGGTGCTGTTCAACCGACAGTTTTGTAATGGCTCCTTTGAATTTGCAAAGGATGCTGGAAGGAATGGTGCTTGCTCATCAGGAACTGGGGAAAAATTGCTATGTGCATGGCCAGCTTAATTTACATGGAAAGTTTATGTATAATAAAAAAAAAAGAGCACGAAACTTGCACTTTGGTAATTATCTTCCAGCAGCAGTAGACGAGAACTGCTAAATTCCAAGTCACAGAATAATGACAGAAAAAAATTTCTGTGGCAGATCTCAAAAGTTCAGAAAGCTACTCTCAGATAAACAATTTGCAATCCACATACGCATTTGATGCTTTTAATATACATATATAAATAAAACTGAGGGATAAAAAAAAAAAAAAAATAAATAAATCACACACACTCTACAAAAAAAAAAAAATCTACAAATGACTTTTTTTTCTTTAATTTGAATCCACTATTTATTTGTATACACTGCTGCTCTGTCTCTACAATTGCACTATACTGTACACTTCTTTCAATTCCATGGATACAAGGGAGTGCTAAGGGTCCATGTACAATGCCTTCTACAGGACTTTTGTATTTTGCCTGTAGAAGCAGCTCATGTTATCCTATGTATCCATGCACATTAGGAATTTTAGGGATATATTTTAGGCTTAGCATTTAGAGGCAGAAAAAAAAACTCTTCTGGTTTGTGTTTTTGAGAGCAGATTTCTAGTTAAGAAAGAAAAAAAAAAGCTAAATGTGGTTAAACGCTTGAACAAAACTGCTCAAAATAAGCGGTTGTTTCTACCAAAGGAGCTGATCAGCTTTTGTACCTTCATGGTCATGAAGACTGCCGCAGTTCCGTATTTTGGGGAAAATTACCTTTTTTGCTTTGTTCTTTATCCTTCTTTTTCAGGAACTTAGCCATTGGATCTCCCTCCCTTTCCTGTTCACGTAACATGCGATCTAGGTCGGTGTCATCAATGTATCGAGCCAAAGGCTTTGTCATCTCTCGAGCTGCATCTTCTATGTTTTGACGTTGCTGTTCTTGCTGTGCCAGACTGAAAGAAATTGCACATGGTCATCTCACCCTGTTGCTGTCCATTACCTGCATTATAGCTGCTTGCAGTAAGAGAAAGTATTAGCTCTCATACCCTTTGCCCCACTGGGCATACTTCTGATCACGTTTTTCTTGTGCGGCTTGTTTCTGAAGCTGCTGCCCACGCTCAGTTTTTAAGTCTCTCCGTTTGCCACTTTTGTCTCTGAAAATGGTTTCGGCATTTCTTGATTCCTCTGCACAGAAAATACATATAAAATTTAGAGACACAAACGGATTCAAACAGTATTAAAGAAACAGGGCAAAATCTGATCGGTCATTCAACCCAAGCCTTTGTGTAGTTTTCAAACTGTAAATCCATCTCTTCTCTACTTGGATTTTTTTTGTCAATGTCACTGCCACAGAGGTGAGGGGGTGCCCTTTGTCCACTGCTGTAAACAAAAGACCTTTCAATTGGTAATTATGGAACTGAGCACAGTGTCTGTTAAGCAGAATCAGAAAATTACTCTTAAAACTGTGGCAAGGAATATATGATCATACCTAGGATATCTCTAAGGGCAACGTCTGGTCTTGCCCACACTGAACACCTGGCGTGCACATGTCAGAAGACATACCACCCCTGAGGTTTGGCAACTGACAAAAGGCTTTGGTCTCATCATTCTTGCATTATATAAAGTTGCATTCCATTCAGTGTTGCTAAACTTACAACAGGCACACATCACAATTAAGAGTGCCCAGTAGTAACAATGTACATCGGTCTTTTCCCCCAGCTATAATAAAGTGGCTGGGAAGCAATATATTTTGTAGAGAAATGCACTTCATAAACATCATACAAGGTTTTTTATCTATGAAGACATGAGTGACTGGATCTCCAATAAACATATGCCAATGTCTATCAGATATTTCTGATACAATTGGAATGTCTGTTAAAAAGTGTGATTAAGCAGACTTTTGGTTGAAAGGTGGGAAGATGATGTTCCTGTTGTGTCAGTTCTCCAACAATTTCTGCACACTAGACGCAATTATTTTGACAAAAAGACTTTGCAAAAGGAAACTAGATTTTGTACAAAATATCCTCTGAAAGCGGTTATCAGAAGAAGAATTTAGAAAAATCCCTTGAAAAGGTAAAAGACAGAACTCAAGAAATCCTTACCGAAAAAGAAAAAGTAGAATGTGAAGATACTGTATGACTCAAGCTGGACATAGATTATACAATCTGAATGTACAACCTTTATAAAAACTTCTTTAAGTTTACCAAAACAATGTAGTAGGAGGAAAACAAACAATCCTTTTAACCACTTGTCCTCCAGAGGATTTACCCCCCTTCCTGACCAGGCCATTTTTTGCGTTATGGCACTGTATTACTTTAACTGACAATTGCAAGGTCATGCAACGCTGAACCCAGATGAATTTTACGTCCTTTTTTTTCCCACGAATAGAGCTTTCTTACGATGGTATTTGATCACCTGTGCGTTTTTTATTTTTTGCGCTATAAAAGGACTGACAATTTTGAGAAAAAAAAACAATATTTTCTACTTTTTGCTATTAAATATGTCCAGTAAAAACATTTTAAAATCAAATTTCGTTATAAATTTAGGCCAAAATGTATTCTGCTACATGTCTTTGCTAAAAATAAAAAAAATCCCAGTAACTACATTAATTGGTTTACATGAAAGTTATAATGGCAGTATATATACTGGGATTTATTTATTTTTACTAGTAATGGTGGCGATCAGCGACTTATAGTGGGACTGCGGGCCTGAGGCGGGCATTCTGACACTGGAGGGAACTGACTTGGTGTCACTGACATCTCCATTGACACCAGTACAGTGATCAGTGCAAATAAAAAGCACTGACACTGTACTAATGGCACTGGGCATGAAGGGGTTAACATCTGGCGTGATCAAAGGGTTAACTGTATGCTGTTTTACAATGTGTGCTGTGTTTCTGCTTCACTGTACGCACACTGCTTTGCATGGCTGTGCACAGCCATGCAAAGATGTGTGCAGGAGCTGACAGGGAGGAGAACTGTTTTGTTTACTAACAGTTCTCCCCCCCGTCGGAGGTCCTTGGCAATCACCGGGCGCCGACGAGTAATCACCTGCTGGGACCTGGTGATTGACAGCCACGGCCGCAAATGGCGGTGTGGGTAGTGCGCGCGCCCCCTACCCGGAATTAAAAAATCACGTGTAATGATTTTGCGCACAGCTGCAGCCCTGTAGCAGTATTTCTGCTATTTGGCGGAACTAAAGCAGTTCATTAATATCAAATAAGGCAGGCCCTACCATATCGTTGCTTGTACAATCAGATTCAAACTCAAAGCGCTATCCTGCCAATACAACCTCAAAGTGCAATAAAGTATATTAAAAAAAAATCAATCAACATTTCATAATCATAACATCCCATAAAGTACTCTGTGTTCATAATCTATGTGTTGCTGGGTCGCTACAATAAAGTGCTTGTGCTCAAATCAATATCTTGTGCGGGTTTCCACATACACTGTGCAGATGTGCAAATCCACTTCTCTCCTTTACATGCACCAAACTTTGTCCTGTGGCCCTTCAAGTGTTCCCCCGCTCACTGGAACGTATGGACTCTATGACCTAAGCATTAGGAGCCCTAAGCACTTGTCAGCAGGTTCAGTAAATACAAAAGGTATTCTCTCTCCCAGGCATCTTTTTCTTCTCCTTTTCTCTCTCCATCTCTTTCGTCCCCACACTGCAGTATCCTATGCTGAATGTCACTCCGCACCAAATTAATTCTGTAGCCATGGGTATATGACGATCCGGTTGAAGTCTTCTCTTCTGTGTACTTCCTGGAGGAAGAGGGGAAGACTTCAGCCAGATTGTCATATGACCATGGCTATATATCTCACAAGGCTAAGGTTATGTTTCTATCAGTGATTCATGAACAGCTAGCAGCCCTGCTTAAGTTTTCAGTGCAGCAGCATCACTGTCAGTTCACTACAGGACCTTAGGAAGTTACTGGATTTCTGGCAGGATCAACAGGTATTTTTCAGCAAATGCAGTGTTTTATGGAGACAAAATATGGGGAAAATGTGCATGTGATCCAGAGATGTACTGGATAGAGGAATGTTGGCTTACTCATAAAATGCAAATTTTGGGAGTACAGCACAGGACACAGGCGGAATATTCATCCCTTTCATTAGAGACTGGTACCTCCGGGTGATTGGACACTAGCAAAAGTTTGCTTGACGTGCTTTTCCTGAGCGTACCCCTATAACCCGACCACACTATGAGAGAGCTCAGTTTTTTAGCAAGCTAAGCAGAATAAAGAGTACAGTACAGGACAGGACATAGGCTGCATATTCATAGACCGTAGAACACCCCCCGGGAATGAATAAGAAGGGTGGGCAAACATAACTATTCCAAAAGGACCAACAATATCAAAAGACCCTTATGGTTGAAAGCTATATCCATAGAAGCTTGGAAGTCCACCTGGTAGAAGTGGAAAAAGGTATAAACTGAAGGTAAGGTGGGGCCTTACAAAGATGAGCAACATAGGAACAATATCAGAACACCCAGGAAACAAGCACTTATCTGGCAGAATGAGCATGTAAGAGTTCTTGAGTTGTGCTATCCTTTAGAATGTATGTTGAGATGAGCTGCCTTATCCACCTGGCAATAAAGGATTTTGAGGCAGGAGGTTCCTTGCAAGGCTGTGAAGACAAGACAAAGAGAACTTGTCTTTCTTATAGAGGCTGAGGCCTTTATATTAACGCTGATAGATTTGAAAATGTCCAGGTAATTAAGAGCAATCTTTTTGGGGTGCTTAGGAGCAGGATACAAGGAGGGAAGGACTATGTCTTCATGAAGGTGGACGTTAGATACCACCTTCGAGAGAAAGGCAGGTCTTTGTTGCAAGGCTATTTTTCTTCAGAGACACAACTAAATGTGATAGCCACGAACATGAACATTTTGTAGAAAACATCATCCAAGAAGAGTTTTCTGATGGGTTCAACATGTGATTTCTGCATGGCAGAGAAAGCTAAATTAAGATCCCAACGAAGCACAGGGAGCTGTAAGTGAGGTTTATTCTGAGAAACATCTTGAACAAAGGTTTTTACAATGGAAAGCAAAATCAGGTGCCATTGGCTCCTGCTGCTGTCAATCACAGAAAGTGAGCCCATGAGAAGAGAGAAGGGGCGGGGCCAAGCCACAGCTCCGTGTGTGAATGGACACATGGAGCAGCGGCTTAGGAATGCACCTGAACGGGTGCCCCCATAACAAGCTTGTTGCTGTGGGGGCACCCAACAGGAGGGAGGGACCAGGAGCGCCGGTGAGGGACCCGAGAAGAGGAGGATCCAGGCTGCTCTGTGTAAAACCACTACACAGAGCAGGTAAGCGTAGACATTTTTGTAATTTTTTTTTTTTCTTTTTTTTAAGCCTTCACTTTAAGAGTACATAAGGTAAAATTCTGATCAAGTTCCAATTGCAAGAAGCCCAGAATGAGAGGCACAGAGACTCTGGGATTGAAAAGCCTGTGTTCATACCAGGATTTCCAGGTATGATAGTACATTTTTCTGGAAGTGTTTTTTCTGGTTTTGAGTAATGCAGGAATTACAGAATCAGAGACAAACCTGTCCCTCAATGCTTTCAACAGCCATGCCATTAAAGCCAGTGACCAAAAAGCAGGATGAACAGGGGACCCGGAGTTCTGTTCTGTCTGGAAGAGGCCAAGTATCACCTCCTAGAGGTTTGAGTATGTCTGTGTACCAGGTTCTCTTGGGCCATGTATAAACTTGATTGAGGTTCAGGAAATTATCAGAGCATCCAATGTCAGTGCTAGAGGATCCTTGGTCCTAGCTATAAACAGGGGTAACTTCTTCTCCAAATCTGGAGTTCCCCATTTTTGACTAAGGAAACTGAAGGTGTTGAGATGAAGGGCACATCCCCCTTGGTCCAGGCAGGGATGGCTGACGTAATCCACCTTTCAAATTGTTCTCTTCTGGGATGTGAACAGCAGAGAGATGGAAAGTGTTCCTCCACCCATGAGATGATCAGACTTACTTCCATTAAGGCTTCCTGACTCCTGGTTCCCCCCTTGGTGGTTGATATAGGTCACAGCCTTGGGACTGTCTTATTGTACACTGACTAAGTGACCCTAAAGGGGGGTCCAGTGATTCAGTGCTAGTTGTATTGCTTTGTACTCCAGGATGTCGATAGAGAGCTTGGCTTCCTTGGGTGATCATTGAGCCCACAGGTCTTGGACAT